GAGTGCCCACAGTACACAGTTGGTTTGAAGCAGTTCAGGTAGGAGAGACTTGGTGGCTGGAGCCTTTGTGTGCTTTCAGGTTTTAATCAATTTGGCCCCTTCAGAAGAAATTGGTGGCCATCTGTTTAGAGTGTCAGGAACAAGCTCATTGTGGGTGATCTCCTGAGCTGATTCAGCACACAGTTCTTCCAAACTTGTCCTGGGACTTGATAAACGGGATTTGTTGGAGATTTCCCTAAAATCTGAGCAGTGATTCACCAGAAGAGGAGGGAGTTTCTTTCAGTAATTGACTGAATCAGCAATTCCCACTCCTTCTTTGTGGCTTTGATCTACTTGTCTCTCAGGAGGGATTTACATTGTTTTTTATAATTAATTAACAGTTGAAGATGTTCCACAGAATGATTTAATCTAAACACTTGGTATGCTGTTCTGAACTTCCTCTTGAGATGTTCATGCTCACTGTTGGTACCTTTTACTAGGATCAGAATGACTGGGGAAGTTCCTCTCGCCAGGTCTATATAATGATTTCATTCATTAATGTGTTGCTCATAAAGCTCTACACAGTCATTATGAAGCTCCATTAATTGCATCTGAATCCCTATGGTGAATGTAGAGGAGAGCGATGCAGCTGATGTTCTTGTACTTATTTCAGTTCCTCTGACATGGATGATAGAGTTCTGATTTTATAAGACTCAGACAAATTTTCACATGTTCGTTCCATCTCATTAACAAGTGACACTCTTAATATTACAGGTAGTCCTTGGTTAATGACGGTAATTGGGACTGGGAACTTTGTCACTAAGCAATGCAGTTGTAAAGCGTGATGTCATGTAACCATGCTGACTTACGATGGCAGTTCTGGCAGTTCTAGTTGTGATCATTAGGCAAATCCCATATGATTGTTAGATGCAATGTCACATGATCACCATTTGTGACCTCCTGTTGGCCTCCCCATTGACTTTGCTTGTCGGAAGCTGGCAGTCAAGGTTACAGATGGTGATCATGTGACTGCGGGACGCTGCGCTGGCCGCAACTTCAAGTACTGGCCATAAGTCTCCTCGTTCAGCGCTGTTGGAACTTTGAATGGTTGCTGGACAAATGGTCATTAACCAAGGACTACCTGTACTGGTGGTGATTGCTGTTCATTTGTGGTTCTACCTCCAGATCAGATAGAGGTGAATCCAGATGGTTGATCATCTGCCTTATTCAGAATTCCTCAAAGTTGCAGATTTTATCTTTTGGATCTCTTGGGAGATGTGGTCCTGGAATTCTTCTGGCTGACAATGATATTTAAAGTACTGGTAGAGAGTTTGTTTGTTTGTTTATTAAGTTTATATGCCGCCCATCTTCCCTAGAGGGTGACATATAATTCATAGTTCATAGTTCAATCATCTATGCCTAGCTGGGCATTTAAGTCTCCTCCAATAATAAGTATTGCTGCTTGGTGATCATTAGAGCAGTTTTCAATGTACCGCTCTATGTGGCAAATAATAAATGGAGAGACAGATGTGTAAAGAAAGTTCATAATGTGCAATAAATGTGTATATGTGTTTGTGTCTTGCAAGTAAACCTTGAGTCCTGGCAACTGCCTGGACAATCCATGCAGTTTTCTTGGTCACATTTTTGGAAATGGTTTGCCATTGCCTTCTTCCTAGGGCTAAGAAGGTGACTGGCCCAAAGGTGCCCAGTTGGCTTTTGGTGGGGTGGGGGAAATATACACACATAAGCACGCACGCACACACACACACAATTTTAGAATATCTGTTTTCAATCAGCACTTTTTTTCCTTTTAATTTTTTTGGCCTTCCTTTGAGATTTTTATGTGCTTATATTTTATTTTATATTATATTTTACATTATAACTATGAAACAAATTATGATTACTCGGCTAATTTTTTTCCTACATACCAGCTCCATAATTTCTAAACAGCTTTGTTGAACTAATAGTCACTTCTGCGATATAAACAGCTAGTATTGTGTTGGATGGGTCAAGAAGTTGCTTTAGCCCAACAAGTCACCATCACAAGTCTCAAGAAGATAGCATCCCTTGACAATAATTTAAATTTAATTGAGTGGCTTTGATCTGTCACTTCCTGTTAGCTTGGAATACTTTATGTGGTGGTTTTAGGTCAAAATGGGATGAGCTCCTGAGATATTTGGAAAATTTGAAATGAATGCAGCCATGAGTTTTTTGTTGTTGTTGTTTTCTTTTTACATCAATCCTGTAAAATTGGAACCAAAGTGAGTGTACTGAGGAGAAAAATCTAATGGTTGCTGTAAGCTGCAGCATTCAGAAGATGAGTAGAGGACTTCCCAAAATGGCTGAAGAATATAGTGATTCTAACAACTGGGTTTGTTTTACCATGTTCTGTCTACATTATATAATCTGCATTGGGTAATGTGTATACATCAGTCAGTTGTTAGGGTTTTTTAATCTAAAATTATTGAAATTAATTGATGCATAACTTCATAAAATTCAGCTGCAGTTATTTTTGTTAACTGAATATGCCAGAAGCAGAACAGAACAGAAACTTTATTGATTTAGTCATCTGACCATATCAAAAGTATAAAACCAATACAAATATACAAGTAAATAATATTTAAAAAATAGAACAAATCATAATAAGTCATCACCCCTGCAGTTAACCCCAGTCTGATTTAAATAGTCTGTCCTCTTCAAAATCGCCTTTGATATGAATAGTGCAGTCTTACTAGTGATATGCAGGTTCATCCCCTGCAAAAAGTAGGACAATTTATCCTGAGTACCCCAGTATTTTTTAGTTTTTAAGTAGCAATCTAAATAAACAGTCCTTTCTGTTGATTATAGTTTGCAATCAAAGAGGATATGTGCAAAGTCTTCAATAGCTGGTGTACCACAGATACACAGTCTTTCCTTAAATGGAACTCCATGGAATCTCCCATATCTTACTATGGAGTCTAGTTGTTCAAAACAAGCTCTTGAAAAAGCTCTTCTGAGATGTTGGGGCATATAAGCTGTTAAATACTTTTCTATCTGGGAGGCTGATTTGTGCTGAGCCAGCCACTTCAGGGACTTAACATGTTTAAGGGATGCAATATCCTCTTGGGCAGCCACTTCTATGACCCTTTGTTCGAAACTTTTCTTGGCCTTCAGATCTGATTGGACTGGGAATTGGATGGAGAATCCATATTGTGATATGGCATTTGAGAATTGGACAACCCAAGTGTGAGAAGGCATATTATACAACCGCTCTTCAAAACAGAGCTTGGGTAGTCTATCTGGGTCCATAGATAAGATCTTCAGCCAATAGTTGAATACTTTAATTACTAAATGACTTTGTATAGGGGGTATACCCTGCTCTGCTCTTATTGCTGGAGTTGGAGTAGATTTGTCCACCCCCAAGATGCATTTCAAGAAAGTGGACTGTATCTGTTCCAATAAGAGTACTTTTATATTGTATATCCCCATAGTTCTGCGCTCTATGTAATCATTGGGATTATTTTGCTGTTATATACCTTTATGATTGGGATTAGAGAACCTGAGTAGCTGTGATTGGTGAACTGCCTTATAGCTTGGCACTGGCTGTAGCCCTTAAAGAACGCCTCTTAAAGTGTGGGAGCCAGGAACCTGTTTCTGTAAAAACAAGTCCTAGGTATAAATAGGACTTAATCTGATCTATATGTTTCCTATCCAGGCTCCAGTTATACCTAGTCCACCTCTTCCCAAAAACAACTCCCTTGTTCTTAGTCTTACTGATGGTTAGGTAGTACTAACTGAATATGAGTCAACACTGAACTTGGTTGAGAGTTGAAATAGATGTGATGTGGAAGAGAGTTATCACCAGGATTCTCATTTTTTAAAATAAGAGCAAATGGCAATCATTGGGACCACTTGTTAGGTTGGGATTGAATGAGAGAGCTCTAATTCTTTCTTCCCAAATTATTTGCCCTAAACACACACAGACACACACACATCACCAACAGTTATTTGCCACAATGACATTACAATGATAGACCAAGATTAATCTACAGATACTCTCTGTTTAGGAAGAACTGACCTGGAGAATGTCAATCAGATCCTCCTGCATCAGTTCTGTGATTAAAACTACTCACCCACCTGCACCCTGCAGCAGCCACTCCAAGCTCTGCCGTGCTTGCACCACACTGCACCGGCATCTTGCACGTCCTCCCCCACCTGTCAGCTGCCACCCCAAGCCCCGCTATGCTGCCCCAGCCTCTCGTGCCCCCCCGTACACATCCCCCACCTGGCAGCAGCCGCTTACCCACCTGTTGGCCTGCTTGTGACCCACCTGGGATTTGCAACTTCCTACTGGCTTCCCCAC